GGCAGGAGAGTTTCGTCTGGCTTGGGGGCGAATTCTAGAATAGTGTGCCGGTACCTAGTAGTGAGGCTGAAGTAAAAGGGCTAGGGGTGGCAATGGTTGGGCAATTGAGGAGGATTGGTTTAAATGGAAGCGGAGGTTGAAAGAGTGGACAAGAAGAGGTGGAAGAGAGAGGTATAGCGACAGAGGAGAAGTAAAGGGAGGAGGAAAAGGGAAAAAAGTTGACGAAGAGGAGAGAACAAAAAAGAAGAGGAGAAAGAAACAAGAGAGCAAGAAGCACGATGGAGGAGAAGTTGAATGAATGGATGCACGAGGAAATCCGGTACGGTAATGGTGGTACACAACAGACTTCACGACACACCTTCCAAAGTGTGTTAAGGTAGTAAAGTAAATTCAAATAAAAATGCAAAGGGAAAAAAATTAAAAAAATTCCCAAAAAAATAACAGCTTCTGCGGGGCCTTTGGGTTCACTAGTTGACAGAATGGATTCCAAGCAATGCGGGGGTTTGGGTGATCTCCGGTTGGGTTGGTTATTATTCCGGAGATTTTAAAAATAAATCTTTAGAAAAAGAAACAAAATTGAGAAAAATACAACAAATGATTCCATTCATAACTAGTTCTTTGAAAAAGAAAATTGTTCAAACCAATTTTTTTAAGAGAGTCAAAACAGACGGAAAATCCTTCAGACTGCCAATCATTGCTGTCAGACCGTCAGGGCAGAAACAGTTGTTCCTGACTAACCAGCAGGCAAAGAGGGTGATGTGATTTGCTCCACTCGCATCTGGGAATTCAATGTCCAGGCAAGGAAATGGCTCTGGTGATGTTGTCATTCAGTTCCAGGCCCCCATAATAATGGGACTCTGGAGACTTGGAAAAAGAAATGGACCTTGCCAGAGCTGAAACGGTCATATTTTATTCTCAACTGGAAAAAATTCTTTTTCTATTCTTCTCTTTTTCATTGCATTATGTTTCTCTCTCTCCCTAGCTCAGGTATGAAACTGCATTAGTCAGTGACCTGTGTCCGTATGGTCACCTGCTCAGCACGAGGCCATGCTGTATGGTAACTGTTCTGGGTAGCAAAATCGAGGAACCAAATAGTAGATCATCAAATTTCAGGCAACATCTCAGTTTGCAGTACTAGTTCCCAGAAGGAGGGATTAATAAAATCCAAGGGACACATAATTGGCCATAGCTGGTGTGATCTTCTGACAAGTGCAGATTACCCCCCTCAAAAGGAAATTTAATTAAATAAGAAACATCTTCATACAAAAACAATCTCATTCATTGACAAAACATAGCAAGAGGAGTAAAACTGATTGGCATCTTCGCTGAGTAGGTACCGTACTCCGGAGTACAGTTCATCCCCCTCGATTCATTACCGCCGGCAATACATTACAGCGACCGGAAGCCCCAAAAAATCACTCAATGGGTGATCTGTGCTGTACTCCGTCCCGGTGACCATACCGTAATACGTAGGAATCGACGCATCGACCGGTCTAGGGCCTGGTCGGTGGATACATGATGTCATCCCCCATGGCCGTACCGTACGGTATGATTGGATGACGCCCCCATCCCCCATTGCCAATCACCCTACAAATGGGGAATAAACTGGGAAAGGGCTGACTGGGGTCAATTCGATACGGTACGGCTGCTAGTTCCCAAGACCTTATCTTACCGCCAGAGCACCTGAGGTTAGGGACCATTTATAGCATGTATAGTACTACTAGTAAGGTACGCTCAGGTACGGAGGGAAAGGTAAACCTGCCTATCATTCGAACGACCATAAACTTTCCCAGAGGTAAGGCACATCCAATGGTTGAGGGACCTATGTCCAACCGTAGTATAGCGGTTAACTTGCGATTCAGCCAAGATGAAGATCCGCCAGCTGCACTGACAGGTCATTGGACACATGGCCAATACCTACTGACTGGGTACTAATACCCTAAACTGCAAGTCAAGTGCATTCCTTCGGAGCCTGGTTCCATGGCTGAGCCATTCTTGATTATTATCAATTATTATTTTTTCTTCTTTTTCTTTCTTTTTTCCTTTTTTTATTTATTTTGATTTATTTTTTTTACTTATGTGACTCAGTGGTTCGGATGTTCTTTATCTGTGTAAGATTAATTGTAGATACATGTAGCACAAGATACCCTGTATCAAGAAGTAGACAAATAGTCGGTCTCAATCACACCACAAAGAGCCAGTTTCAACTGTAGCACGCCACAGCGTTAGCCCCAGGCATCGATTCGGCTTTGACGAGTGATTCTCGAAGGAATGTCTCAGGCGCTTGCATTGTCCGCCATCGGTGTTGCTTACGTTGCTTTGCGTGTTAAGTATCCCACTATCGTTTTGGCCACAATGCCACTGAGCACCGAGACTTGCCATTTTGAATGAGAAGCAGTCACGTAATCTTTCAATTTTGAAGGTATTAGTCTACTGGACCAGCGCAATGGCGTACCCATACCATTGCCTGTGAGGAAGATCTCTGTGTTTGATCGCCTTATCGTCACGCATCAGAGTACTCTTATTCTACAGCCAAGAGCCAACTATTTTCATTCTGAAGAAACTGTTCCTTCAACATCTAAGTCCACAGCTGGTCACAATCATCTGTTTTAGATCCCAGACATCCTTCTCAGTCAAGGCCAGATACCGTTACCTCAGTGGACCAGTCCAGACATATATGGACAAGCCGAAACAGTCTGGGGTTAGTCTTCATATTTGCCCATGTTGATATGACCGCTGTCTCGTGGACAAAAAATGCTGGGATGATCCCCAGATCCAGCAGGCGATCATGTGCAACATGTGACCCATGACTTGCAGGCGGAGTATTCTGCCGACACAAATCACGACCGCCTATCCCCAAACCAATCAGAAGATTTGAACCATACAACTTTTTGCAGGTTCACCTTTTTCGTGTCAACAGGAAGATATCGCTTGGTTTGAGGATTAACGGTAGGATACCAGAAGAGCTGTACTTTTGCTAGAACTTCAATCCTGGGGATCTATTGCCCCATAACGTCAATTGACAATGCTCCACTCCCGCCTCCGACCCCTCCCCCGCCGCCGTACGCCCTTATCTTCCTCCCCATCAGCCCCTCCTCCCGATTTCCACGATGAGGACTCCGTTGAGGACGAATCTCCCGAGGACCTCTTTGGAGCTTTCCTTCCCCACCTATTTCCAGATGATGCTCCCTCTTTCCACGGTGATCCTGGGCAGCACCTCCTGTACAGCTCCCCGCGCTATGGCGCTCTTGATATCATGGTCCCCTCCTACCCCCAGCAGAGCGACAATCACTCGGAAGAGATCGCAGCAGGTCTCCCCCGCGCAGATGGGAAAGTAAACGATGTGGACCAAGGGCGAAGGCTGTTTGCACACTTTCTATGGAGTGCCGCCATGGTGGTCGCAGAGGGGGTTGAAAACGCAGAGCAGCTCTCTTCGGTGGGACAATTGGATTCCGACACGGCGATGTGGAACGTTACGGGGGAGAGTGTGCTTGAATTGGGCGCTGGTTTGTCTTCCCCTGGTTTCTCTTCCTTGCAATTCCTTAAAGCCATAGATCTATTGGACTAATCTTATCCTGCAGGTGCCGCATTACCATCTGTGGTCTGTGCCCTTGCGCAAGCCTCTACGGTTACCATTACCGACCATCCCTCTTCTCCCGCCTTTGCTGGCGCCATCGCCTTCAACGTCGACCACAACGTCCGCAAGTCTTCCTGCACTACCGAGGTTATTATTAAACCCCATGAGTGGGGAACACTAGAGAGCGATCCCTGGGCCGTCGAGAAGAAAGGAACCTTCACCCGGATCATCGGCGCGGATTGCTACTGGATGGCCTCGCAGCACGAGAACCTCGTGAATACGATGAAATGGTTCCTTGCACCTGGCGGCAAGGTCTGGGTGGTTGCCGGGTTTCACACCGGGCGAGCCATCGTGGCCGGGTTCTTCGAAACTGCAGTGAACAACGGACTGGAGATTGAGCGGATCTATGAACGGGATCTCAATTCCGGGACGGAAGACGGGAAGGAGGTCCGTCGGGACTGGGTACCTGAGCGGGAGGGCGAAGGCCCCGAAAACCGCAAGAGATGGTGTGTAGTTGCTCTCCTCAGGAGAAAGGGAGAGTAGAGTCGACCTGGGGGTTCAATTCCCCCGGGGTAAAAGCCCCCCTCAAGCCAGCATCCATAAAGCGATATATGCCAATGGATCTATACATCATGACTGATGAAACGTGACGACTATACAGCCTGATAGAACATCAAAAAGAATAAAACAAACTCCATCTATCTACAAACCCACTGGGTATATGATCAAACCCTCTGAAAGCACACCGTACAAACTCCCTGACCCTCCTTGCCCCCAAATCTAAACCGGGGATACTCAACACGCCCCCAAACCTCCAGCCGATCGCCCTCCCCCTTCTCCCTGGTAAACCACATCACCAACTCCTCCTCAGTCCAGTTACAGCTGGTAACCACCAAAAACCCACCCTTCTTCACCAACCGTCTCGCAACCCCCGGGGTACATCTCACAAACCCGCCTCTGCACCTTCTTCCCGGCCACCGAAGCATCCGCATCGCCCTCAACCACCTCCTCCGACAGCGAAACAGCGTCAAACGTCCCCTTATCAAGCACAATATCAAACCCGCCCTCCCCATACGGAAACCAATCCAACTTCCCCTGCTCCGCCACCTCCTCCGCCGAATGCAAGATATCCCACTCCTCAAACCGAATCTCCGGGCCATCCTCAGCACCCTCCTCCTCCTCCTCATCCTCGTCATCCGTCAAATAAGCCGAATGCATCTTCAACCTCTGCAACTCGCGCGCCAACTCCACGCTCCGCGCCGAGTAATCCACCCCGACCATCACGCCCCGGAACCCGCCCCGCTTGCGCAACAGAGCCAGCATGCTCCCGTTCCCGGTGCCCAGGTCCAGGATGCTGGGGTGGCTGGCCCCCGTGTTGTTGCACGGTGCCAGCGGGAAGTCCTCGGCGGCCAGGAACTGGAGCACTTTATCGGGGGCGTTGTGTTCGGAGAACCATGATGTGCCCGGGTCGTCGTCGTCGTCGATCGATTCGGCATCGGAGTCCGCGTTCGTGGTCTCTTGTTGGGGGGTTTGTTTTGTGGAGATGTGTGTGAGGGTTCGCGCGTAGAAGGTTTTCCCAGCTT